TCATCATTCATTTAGTATTTTGCAATATCATAGGGGTCGAATTAGGTTAGATGGTTCAACTGGAAATATCTGGGACCGGTTCAAAACAATGGAACATAATACAATTATTGCGCCAGCATACAACTAAGAACACACAACAAAACTCAAACAATGGAAACCAACAGTAAAAGAACAAACTTTTGCAGCTGAAGAGCTTGTACGAGATCGTCGATTTAGGAAGTCTTGTCTTCCGAGGTTAGCGCGGAAAAATAGTAAAAAATGTCTGTACCACAGTAAGGAAAAGGGCGAAAATTGCACCTAGAAAAGCCAAGATAGTCCAAGGACTGCTAAAATGGTCGTGCAGCCATTCAGCCATCCAAACTAGTCATGACAAAATGACCGCTTTATACATCTGTTCGATGGATACTTTATTTTCACAGGCATGCCAAAATTTCTGCGCGATTGGAATTTTTAGTTCCTCGAATGCTTTGAGCTTTGGATCTCCACGATGATAAGGGCCTATCGAAACTACGAGAGGATCAAAACAAACTTGGTTTAACTGACGCAGCAGTAATGGAACCCTTGCTATTTGGGGTTTCTCTGTTGTGTCTTTAACATAGTTCTTTATAGAAATCAACCACTCATCCTCGCTGCCCTCGGTAATGTTAACAGTTGATTCTTGTGATTTTGTGCGAATTTGAGGGATTTCAGCACTCTTGTTATCTTCTGTGGCTCCAACTGTTGTCATCCCTTGAACGTGAGCATGAATTTGAGTCAGCACATATTATCAGCAGCTTGCTTGATAAAATTTTATCAACATAGTCAAAATTTAATTTTTAAACACACGTTTCAAGGAATCCATAATGTTTATCAACTTTTCAATCACATATTTCATTAACTTTTATAAAAATCTATTTAAATTGTTATTAAAAACTTTGTCAAACAACTCCTAGATTGAAGTTTTAGGTCTACCATTCCAGACTAGAAACCTAATGAGGGTTATTCCAACAAAACAATAATCATATTAGATTTAGAACTTGAGAAGAATTTTGAATAACTTTATTTTTATATCCAATTCTATCTTGAAAAATAACCTATGATTATTAAATGCAACAAAAGAAGAACAATATATAAGGTAGAGTTAAATGCAACAAACAAGAATAATATTTAAGAAAAATCCCTCAGGTGAGGTGGAGTGGGGATACCTTGTGATCCCATGGAGGATAAGCAGCAA